AGTAAGTGGTGCCCACCACCTTTCCACCAATATTGCTTAGCTCAGCAGAAAATTGAGACGTTAAAAGGGGGGGAGGCAAGAACTTCAGACTGTAATTCAAAACCTTGGTCTTACAGCAGAAATATCTCAGCAACATTCACAAATGATTAATAGATGAGTCAGACTTTTAGAGGCCCCTTTTTTTTTTTTTAATCAGTTTTAGTATTTTCATAGGAACATTATTTTCACACAGTTCTGTTGAGGAACTAGAAACTCACATAATAAAATAACTTGCTGAAACAGAATTTTTACATCAATTTGGCATCATACCATCCTCAGTTCAAAAATCTTCCAGAATAACACTGATAGAAGAAAACATGTATGAAATCTTATGAAAGATAAAATTCACAAGTTTCAATAACTATTTTGGAAAATATAACAAAAATAATTTTTGAATTCCAGTACCATTAAAAATTACTCTTACAAAGAACACCTATTACCTTTGCAGCCATTAATATAATGTGGCCTTGTACTGGATACAGATACCCAAAAGAACTACACATTTCCAGAAAAGAAAATTTGACCAATCCCTGAAACCACCTCTAAAAACACGTGCCAAAGCTGATAGGCCTTCCACCCCTGTGTTTAAGCTATTATGTATACATTCTCTTGTTCCTTTGTATTCCTTTGAGGGAAACTAAAGCATTGAAAAGAATGTATCTAATGTTCAAAAATAAATTTTTTTTTTTAAATTTTAGAAAAGGGATATTAACTGTTCTTGTTTTACCCAGTTTGTAAACGGATGGGCTGTAACACTCACACAAGTATGTATGGCCATCCAAAACAAAACAACAAAAAAAGTATTTGAAACATAAACAATTCATAAACACAGGTTACAAACTGAGAGCAGAGGAGTAAGTATGACCAACTTAATAAAATGTAAATCTACTTCAGAAAAGCTCTCTAGTTGCTGCAATGTGATTGCAATAATAACTGAAGCTGTTATAGACCCACCAAACAGAAGTCCATGTTAGAACCACAGTTACTGTACAGCTCCAAAACACTCTGCTCAGAGAAGGCCAGCTAGAGAACCTAAATCACTTTCTTAGAGACTGGTTTCACCACATCATGACTGATTTCATCAGTGGGAAAGATGTGGCAGCAGGTATCTTGGCTTCCTACAGTGTCTGGCTATATAGAAGACCTATGGAACCTAGATTCCAGCACTAGAATTCAGAATTATAAAAACCTCCCCTAAAACTACCATTTTAAACAGCATCTGATACTAAAAACACTACAGTTTACACTGCACATTTTAATTAAAAGTAATTTCTTTCAACATTTTTTTTTTTAGAGACTTAAAGGCCTGCACTGTCTTGGTTTCTGAAACTGACAAATAATGAGATTCAAGTTGGTAGCTACCCTTCTTGTCATTAAAAACAACACAGATTTTCTACATTTTTTGTTACTTTGAAACTGCAATTTAGTATCTGAAAACAAGACTTGAGATCTGCCTTCCTATCAATGACCTTAGTGAAAGACACACTGAAAGGCTACAAAGTACTTTTTAGGAACTTGAGCTTACCATGACAAAAAACAATGTGTGATTTAATAGTCAATGTACATAGCTATAAAAACAAAGGAAAGATGAATATTCACCACTAACTTGACTGAATAATATAATTTTCCAATCAATTTCCAAGATACAACTTTGCATTTTGGGAATAAAATTTTCAAGTAAGCCACATTTAAAACCCATAAAATCTGGAAGCAATTTTAAAAAGGTTTTGTTGTTAAACAGTTAATATTAAGCAGGTAAAGTTATCTATCTCCATTATACACTCCTCATTTTTTAGTTGTTTGGGTGGGGTTTTTGTTTGGTTGGTTTGCTTTGCTTTTTTACATTTTCTTTGTTCTATTTTCAACTAAATGTACACCCAGAGATCCCAGTTTATTTGATGCATGCTGGCTTACACAGTGAACTCCTTTACTTCTTTAAAAACTCAGCATTCCTCCTCAGTGTATGCTGAAGTATTAAACTGAGGTGATAAAACCAACTCTCAGCTGCAGGACAAAAGGACAAGGCTACTGTGAAGGTCACTCCTGTGGAAACTGAACAGCAGTTCCTATATGTAAAGTCCTTTTCCATGGCTCCTGTGTCAGTGTGTATGGACCCAAGACAAAGCCCCATTCTGTGTGGTCATGGATGGCTTTCCATCCACACTGTCTAGGGAGAGTTTAAATACTTTACATTCTCTATCATTTCATTCCAAGTATAGGCAATTTTTCCATAATACTAAAAACCTTTTTAAGTAGCTTTCAAATTTCAGAGCTTTATTTAGAATTAACTTCTGAATTTCAATTGCCTTTACATCATGTAGCCACAAAATGACCTTGCTTCCCAACTCCACACAAGAATTTGTTTCAACTGTATATTTTAGACTTTCGGCCATTTCTTCCATAGTGTACCACAATGTGTTTGCCACATTCTCCACCAGAAAGTGAATATCCTCACTGTAAAGAGCTCCCATCATATTACAAACAAGGCTGAGGTTAGATCAAACCACTGCAGAGCTTGGTCATCCAGTCAATATGAAAACAGCTGATGCAAACCCCAAATTATGGCTCTCACAGCAAATGTGTCTTGATCCCTCTCTGCGACAACCTTCTGAGAACATATAATATGGAAAATAAGACTGTTTCTTACTGAACTGCTTTAGTGCTTTAATGCTCTAAGTGGGTCAACAGACTTACTGTATGAATTTTTCTTCAAAATATACATCATCATCACACATGGCAAAAGAAACCTTTCAATAGTCACAAAATATTTAACTTGGGTTCTTCTGTACAAACACGCATACAGTCATTATATCGCAGTTTCCGGTGGCTAGAATTACAATGCAGATTATGAAAAAGAGATAAAAGCACTTTCTTCAAAAAGCTTTGTGATGATGCTTAATGGTCAGTAAGAAACCAAGAAGAAATCCTAACTGTAGAAAACAGTTTAATAATACCTCTTCTTTAAATCTCAATTTCTGTATTGTTATATTGTGCATTTTGCAACACCCCTTACTTTTTTTTTTTTTTTTTAATTAGAAGCTTTCCAAGAGCTCTTTCTTTCCCTCCAATCAAAATATGAACATATTACATTTCAGATCATATTATGCTACTCCTACTTCAGGCAACTAGAGAAGTGCTGAATGACAAAAATAGCTAGTAAGACATGTTTGTGCTTTGAACGCCTCTATGCCCTCTTCTCTATCACTTTTAGGTTAACTCTTGGCCCATCAAGTCACAATGACTATTAAGGTTGATTCAAACACACGGAGTGGGTGGAAATATTTCTGCAGACTACAGTGAAGCTTATATCAAATGCTTAAATGTTAGTCCCAGCCTAAGACAGCGTCAGGTGGTAGTGCTGCCAAAAGCAGCAGTCCCACCCTCATCCACCCCCAACTGTTTGTTCTTGTGTACTTGATACTTTTTCTTATATCAGCCACACCACCAGTTCAGTTACATCAATCAGATAAGTCAACTGACCTAGACTAAAACAACTGGTTTTTTCCCTCCCAGAAACAGAAGCTATGTCTAGAAGATTGTCTGAGTACAGCTCTCCCTCATAACTTAACATCATTAATGCATACACTGCTACTAACAACAAATAAAATGACAAATTTCTATCAGTTTGATAACGAAGGGTGTGCTACTGTGCATCTGCTAAGTCATTAGGAAGAATACACCCAACTGGCAAGACTACATTACAAAAGGCAGATTATTTTTTTGCATCACTTTACTTTGGTGTTCAAGCATTGCCACACTGTGAATTCCAATAACCTCAGGAAAATCCTCTTTGAAAAGGTCAAAGACATGAATAAAATAAGGGTGATTTTAGTTAGCATTAAGTTGTTGAGAATTTCATGGCATGTAGTACAACCCACCAAAAAGGTACATACAGGCACCCAAGTGCATCTGAAAGTTTGTGAGAACTTACTGCTGAGATTACAGCACCTAAATCAATAATACTACACAGTTTAATAGTTTTTTTACCAACATAAACATCTGCAGAATCTTTGCCTATTTTATAATCTGTACAACCTATTATTACATGCATACCTAAACTGACATTTACGAAGTCAACCAGTAAGTAAGAAACTAACTTAGAGAAGCCTAGGTGTATCTTCAGCTTTAGCAGACATACACAAATAATGATCAGGCTGCTACAATCTCACTAGTTGCGAGAACTATAAAATATTTTTAAAATACATTAACAATTCTATTAATATTTTTAACCGTATTTTGACATTGACCCATGGAGAATGCAAGGACATCAAATCAGTAACACTGCACCCTCAAATTACTATTCAGCAATGTAAAGCATTAAGCATCAATGTGCTGCAAGTTATTTACATGCTGATGTGCTTTGCTAGCTCAGTGTGGAAATATATAAAATATGAACAGATGTGCCATGCAAAACCCTGAATCTGTGATTCAAGTTAAGGATTCATTATTCCTTAAGTCACTAAATATAAATCCACACACAAGCACTACTCCCCCCCTCTCTGACTGCCTTTGAAGAAAGTTTGGATACAATTAAATTCTTCATAGGCAGGGGATTAAACAAAAGCAAAAAAGGATAAAATTAAAGAACAAATATAAGCTGTTTTCAAAACAAACTATGGCATTTCTCCAGGTTATTTATTTTATCCTAATTGAAAGGTTATTTTTTTTCTTAATAACACTTTCTTCCTTTCTGATTTGCGGTCGTTGCTCACTATTCACAGTTGGTGAATCTATTAGGTTAAAAGTCATCAAAACTATCCACTTTATAATGCCACATATTTTTAATATTTAAAATGACAGATTAGCACTGACTGTGTTATAGAGTGATATATACTTCAACACAATATGTATGCAAGTTGTGTTTGGAGCAGTTTCTTAAATGACAGTGTCTCTATGCTATAGATGTAGCACCTTTAAATAATTTAATTCAAAACAGTCCTGGGAAGGATTCATTCATTTACCCGTATCCAGCTGTTGGCCTTCGATTCCACAGGGTTCTGTGGTTCACTGCTGTATAGACAACATAAGCACCACATCAGAGTCTTCTGGCTTTCATCTGCAGGGAAAAAAGCAAATAAGGATACATTTAGAAGGGAGAAAAAAAAAATCAAAATACAGACAGAATTACACAGAACAACCCCTATCCATCCACAAAACTAAAGCCCTAAATATCAGCCTCAACTCATAATGCTTCTATTCTACCAGCTTCACAACATACATTTAATGTTATTCATATGTAGTTCTTGTGTAATCATTTCCTTCAATAACAGTTTAAGAGGTATCAAAGAGTTCAAAATCTATACAATATTTATATGGTCTTAAGAAGCATGCATGACTTTGTGATTCATTTACATAAATAATACTTGAAGCTATCATCAAGGAACTTCCAATTCAGTATCTAAATAATATCATTAATCATAAACAGTAATCAACAGTAGTAAAATAGTTATTACATTGTGCCCAAAGCTTGCACAACTAAAGAATGCTCACTTCTGAAAAAGTAAAGTTTGTGAAATATGAAATCATTCATAACAAGAACGTAAAACAGAGTTTTCCATAAGAATATACTGATTCTCCATGCTTCAGGAAAATGACATTTCTGCAGACAGCAAAATAGCTAAATGCTGATGGAAAAAAACCTATTTTGATTTTCTGTTTAGGATCAGATTACGTTTCACTTAATTCTAACCCACTGTTGTAAATTAGTTGCCTTCTCTAAAAGCTTACTATATTGAGCAATACTGCCACTGGTCAGATGCACAGATATTATAGAGGAGCTGATTATATGGAGTAAGTAGTTGAAGAGTCATTTAACTCATGATTATTTCCCACTACTTTGTTTTCAATAGGCTTTTTTTTTTCTTTTTTTGGCAGATACCAAAGGTCTCTACACTGAATTTCATACCAGAATAAAACCGTGTGAACAAAATTATGAAAATTGGATGTAGTAGTGTAGCTCTGATACAATATTCACTTAGTAAGTGATATTATTCTTGTTAAAATAATAGAAAACAGTAATACTACATGAGTTTTAGAAATTATATTAGGAGACAATTTGATTATCAAGCTCAATACATGATTTCTTTTGTCTTCTGTGTATTTGTTATCCAGGATGCAATAAACAGTATTATTTAGAAGCTTCCTTGGCAAAGCCTGAAGAAAAAAATAAAACTTCCATTAAGTTATGCCTGTATTTTCACCAGGTGATCAGAGAAGTTAATATTGATTTAAACCAGTATTCCTCAATAAATGTCCAACAAGCCTGTAGGCCATTACTGGCCTCCCACTGACTAACATCTCCACACAGAAATGGTTTCTCAAACATACACATTTAACTGACTACAATTTGGGGTATCCTGTATTCTGTGTTTGGGGATTTTTTTTTTTTTTTAATACGGATTTTTACAAGGTTAATGATTTCCTAGGTTGTTTAAGACTGGAGTTAAAGGAGACATCTTGCATACAGCTCAGCAGGAATTCAAAGTATCCTTATACTTTGATTGTAACTATATCCAACTAGTATTCAGACATCAGCACTAAGAGGCAACTCCTCCAAATCTTCTTCAAAAAACATTCCATCTAAAATCTGATATGAAATTACATGGGAGGAAAAATAAACAAATACTGTTTTATTTGTTTAAAAGGCTAAACAATAGCCATTTGCTTCTTGGAAAATTAATATTTTAAACATTATTAATTACTAGTACTAAAATACTGCCTGTTCATAAAGTATGGCTTTTGACATAATTTTAAATTGTATGAATTCTATTGTGAAAAAAAAAGTCAAACTATATAGAAAGAAATGGGGGTGTGTGTGGAAATCAAGTCCAAATAGCCTATCCCAAATAAAGTGTATGTAGTTCAAGTGATCATACTTTTGACTTATCCTATTTATACCATATATCTACAGTATGCCATTAAGTCACTTTATTTAACTTACAGTTTTGTTTTGACCTAAAAAAAATAAAGGAGAGAGGTGAAAAAAAATGCATGTAACTGCTTAATTAGAATTCTGGACGAGAAGTCTTTTTGCTACACATGATGACTTCCTGCACACTATAAAGTAAATTGCATATATTGTTTGCCTGTCAGAAATGTAAATCAGTATGATGAAAGCTAAAATGATTAAAACAAAGCTTGGATAAATGATATACTGACACTCTTTGCCAGCATAACGAGTTTACACAGATTTAGCTAGACACATTCTAACTTCAACCTAAGTGAAACCAACTCATTTTGGTGTCATAGCTATGCCAACAGTTCCCAAAAAATAAGGGACTTGTACAGCTACTCAATTTTACCAGTAAAAATTACTTTTTGACTACAGCCAAAACCAAAGTAGACTCACATAGATCTGTGAAAATTAGGAAAAGGGACCATACAGTCCTCTTGCTAAAGTACCCAGTGACACTCTGAGGGCCACTCTGAAGTTCACTGTTTTCTTTTCACAACTGCTTTGGAACTGGGGATGAAAGATGAGAAGATTAAAAATAAGAGAGGGGCAGACCTTATTTATGGTAGCTGCAAAAGATAATAATCTCAAAAGACCAAACACTGGGAGCCACAGAAACCATACCGGTGGGTTTCTCCCTCCCATTTTTCTAGTAACACTGATCCCCATGGAAAACATACCATCACGATACGCACTGAAAATCATTATCAGGATATGAACGAAAACATTTGATGTTCTTATGGCATGAAAGAACGCTCACTACCCAGATAAATACCTAATTAATACATCCAGAGGAAGAAAATCAGTAACTCAACAGTAGAAATTATATCCCAAAAAAGGTCACCAACAATCTTCTTAAGTAGGTTAATGTTGTAGTGCCAACTAAAGGAATTAAAATTTTCTGTAGGAAATTTAAGAGCTTGGAAGACATTTTGTAAAAAATAAAAAGCCAACAATAAAAAAGACGCAAACAAAAGCCCAAACCTTTACGATTAATCAGATCACATTTCTTCCCTACCAGTCTCACATCAAAAATTAAAAAAAAAAAAGGCAGTATTCTTCTCATAACACAGTGTGGTCTCAATCATCCTATGATACAGTCAGTTTATAAATACCCTGTCATGAATGAGGCCAGATGCAAGGAACTAATAAGAAAACCATAATCTTACAGCCAGAAATATTCTTTTTAGAGCTGGTTGTAAAATTTTATTGAAATACATCAGAAAATGTTGACTAGCTAGAACTGAACTTTCCATGGAAATGAATACATATATAAGCATGCACATTCACACACATATACTGACATCCAGAGCCATCAAGAAATTCCCCAGCATTTATACTATTAGTTTGGGATTCAAGAAATTTCAGCTCAAAACTCAAACCAGGAGGGTCCTACTGAGAAGATAATCCCCCAGCCCACAGAAAAAAAACATCAGAATTCTTTACCAAGACTGAATTCCTCATGTATCCCTTGTGGTTTAGGACCACAAGTACAGCCATGAGATTTTCTTCAGTCATGTTTCCTTCACATTAGTGTTCTAAATAAGGCTAACTTGGTCACCTCCTGCTCAGGAGTGTTTATGAGGAGATTATTTTCCCTTGGAGACCACGCTTCCTGTACTGAGTGGTCAGCCATGTCAGCTTCCAGCATCAACAGACATTCATCTAAGGTGACAGGTATTGTGGTTTGGACATGATGCAGAAGTATAATGTTTTTCCTCCTCCATTTATTAGTATTAAAGACTGAACTGAACAAAATTAGTTCCCTCTACCGTGAGGGTGGCCTGGTCTCAGAAACATGCCTGAATGAGCTATTTATCCAAATGAGAAATTACATGAAACCCACTTGAAAGACAGCATCTGCTAAAACCAGCACTATCTCATATAATATCTTCAGAACTAGCGCCAAACAAAATGAAAATCTGCTGAATCTAAAATGCTAGCAGTCCAAAAGGTGCTCAGGTGGCTCTAAAAAGAGGAAGTGGTGGGAATGTATAAGCAGACATCTTCAGGTCTGTTATGTCAGAAAAATCTCCTTGACTCATCTTTAAGCATTAAAGTGTAGGATTCCATTCTGAGCAAGTTAAGTTCTCTGCATTGGCTTGCTTGCAACTTTGAGAGCAAAAAAAACCCAGTAGTAAAACTCCATTCTCTTGCAGTCATCAGAGGTAATGATCAACTTGCAGAAAAAGTGCTTGCTTTTCTTTCTGAAGAAAATGCTGAAGGATCCCAAGGAAGAGGAAATTACTACAGAAAATCAAGAACGTATTGCTGGGTTTGTTGTGAAAAGGAGTCAAGAGCAGAAATAGATGGCTTTCAACTTTGATGAAAAATATAGATGAAGCTACTTTCTATACCGTAATATACTGTCAGCTCAGAAAAACTGATTGTCTAAAGACTTGTATATTCCAAGCAAAAACTTAGAAGCATGTATGTAGTTGTAAACAACAACAGTTACCAAGACTCTCAGAAACTGAAATCATGATTAAAAAGGGAACTTCTTCATTGTAAAAATAAATCTATAAAGCATGAAAAAGGCTTTTCTCAAAAGGTGCCACAAATGCACACATTTGCTGCTCTGAAAAAGTGATCTACATTTAAATCTATGGGGTTTTTCCCCAAATTTTCCTTTCAGAGAGGAAGTGCTAACATAACACACATCTACCATGTGTTTAGAGACAAGTTCATTCTGCCCATGCTTGGAGTTGACTAGAAGATGATAAAGCCAAACCAGAAGACATATGATCACTTTAGCCTAATGCTGTGCTTGACTTAATAAGCCCTTCCAGGTGAAAACAAAAATTGTCCTTTCCCATATTTCCCCAAAAGGAAGCATAAAGCAGAAGAGACAAAATGCCACTTTTTTTTTGTAGTCATTGTAGTAGCAGAAGACTAACAAAAGGTTAAGTGGCTCAGAGAGAAGCTCAGAATTAGTTTTCTGCTTAAAAGTAGATCCCAAGTAATTTATCAATATATCAACATCTCAGTTCCCAAAAAATGTACTGAAATGCTGGTGAGGTAGCACAAGCAATGTCTCCTCCTCCCCAACAGTTTTCCTGTCCCCAATTTCTTTTCTCTTCTTTATTCTCACCTACACATATATACACTACCAGTAGGAGGCTTTTGGTTTTTCTTAAGCCTTTTCCCTGTGTAACCACTTTACTGTTTTGCTTTTGATTCTATGTGCATTTTCACTAGATTGCAAGATGGGTAAAACACACATTCAGAATAAACTCAATAAAAACACACACAATCATCACTTAGTAGAGGTTTACACTAATTAAAAAAAACAACCAAGTATCAGAAAAATTAATTCTTCTGTATTAGCACAGATAATAGACTATTCTGATGTATAACTTCTGTTGAAAGTAGTAAGAAACACTAGATTTTGTACAGTCTGAGAACCTAACAAAAATGTAATTAATACAACAAGAAAACAAGTAGAAATCATGATGCACATAAACAGAGTTTAAAACCTACTGCTCCGTCATCAAGATTTTACAACTAATGAAATTAATTAGCTTCAAAAGTAAATTTAAGATTTCTCAGTGCCACATATTTTAATTAGCTTGGCTGACCTTTTCATCTGAAAATTTTACTTAAATAAAAAAGAATGCTGTGTTTTAATGGAAAAAATGAAAGTATGTAACAAGTTGTATTTTCTTAATTCCTACAGAATAAAGTTTATGGAACTGCTGAAGAAGTATCGTTACACGTTCTTACCGTATCCTACAACATAAGGATTCCAACAAAGCCTTCCTAGAAGCTGGCCAATTAAAGGGAACTGCTGAATTGCTGCAAATGGATCCTGTTAAAACATAAAAACAAACAAAAAGATAATAAATATAGTGCACATCAAAAGTAGGTTAGGAGAACTGTTAATGACACAGATTGTTGTAAATTACAATCCCTATGGTTTCGCTGTGAAATGCTCTAGAAGCTAAACACCTGCAGGTATGTAATAAAAACAGAACTTCCTGAAATGGGCTATAATGTAATAATTCAAATAAACTAAAGCTTAAGTAAGTAATTTCCTCACCTAATACTTAATTATGGCAGAAAATTTTTCATTTGCCTCACATCCAATAATCAACAAACAGTATTAATAACCAAGACTTCATGATAATTAAGGCAAAATTACACTACATTTTTGTTGATCCTCACTGGAGGAACTGTCTCTCAGAGTTTCTGAAGAAAGTAATACCTACTATGGCACAAAACTAAGTGTCTTTCTGTTACTTTTGCTTGCTTTCTTTAAATTAAGTAATGACTAGCCAGTAACAAACTTACATTTAATTTTTAACCAGACAGAAAGCAGCTTCATTATAAAAGTAGTAGACAATGTAGTTTATATACAATCCTGTGTAATCAGCCTTATTTTTCCATTTTTGTAGCTTTACTATCTAATAAATGAAAGCTTTTAAAAATGGTGCTGTGCTGAGATAACATACAAGTAGCAGGAACGATAACCATTTCCTGCTGCTGCAATAAATTCCTTACATTTGTCTCACATTTTGGGTTAGCCCTAGACTTTCTGGGGCCATATTCACAAGGTCCATTTCAGGCCAAGCCTCGGATTACTTGGAAGTAGCAACATCACAAACAGATTATTTTTTTTACCCTCTTAAGAAAAAGACATACATAAACACAGGAAGAAACACACCTCCCCAAAAATCTTTCATTTGAATGTTAAATTCAGTTCAGAAAAAAAAAAAAAAAAAAAAAAAAAAAAAGAACTCTGCAGTCTTCAGATAAGAATAATATTTAAAAAGAAGTATTTCCAATAAGAAGTCAGCCACATGCCATAATGCTGTATTTCTGAAGTTAATTATACTGAAAAAGCCATTCTCAGAAGAACACATCCACAACTAAACATATAAACAACTAAATTTACTTTTTAACAAAAGCACTCTAGTCAGTGCAGACAATAATTAAATTACTAAGCAAAACAGCCAGCAGCATGTACCAACAATCTGACCGTGCTGCCAGAATTCACTGTGTGCCACAACACTGGGGTTAACGTGTCAACAGACTCTCCAAGATTTAAAGGATCAGTTACAGTTTTGCATGTTAAGGCCTTTAAATAATCCAATTTATGACCTGACAACCAGAATCAAATTCTTGTTTATTTTAAAGAGTTTTTTAAAGAGGCTAAGTCATTGGCTGGGAAATCTCACGTGACAACAACCAATAAAGAAAAAAAAAACTGCTTTCACAATAAATCAAGGAAACAGGAAGCACATTCCTGTTTGCATTACCTGTGACTGTTTCCCCAATTTGCCTCTCTGATCCAGCAATACATTAGGTCAATAATGCAAACCTATTTGCTACTGCTAGCTTCTGGTCTGAGGGTGCCTTCAAAACAGGTCACTCTTCCTTTTAAAGTCACTTACCATATGTTTTAAAGTTTCATAAATCTGATGTAGAAACTCCTGGAGCTGGGGTAAGTGAAGGCACGCATCCTTCTGGGATTCCTGTGTGGTGGCTTGGCCCCATTCAGTAGCTTTATTCAACCAATATTCAAAGTTCAGTCTGGGCACTGTAGTGTCCTGGGCCATTTCAGAATCCTGAAAAAAAAAGATTTTAAAGCCACATCATGGAGCGCTAAACACTGGCTTCAAACCAGGAATGAAAACAGGAAGAAGGATTTCTGCTAACTTTTTTTTGTGTTCACATGTAAAGTGGGGTGTGGAGGGTGCCTGTGTTTACTTCTCATGAGGGGGCCAATTTTCTTTGTAGTAGTAATAGGGTAAAATAATAACCCCATTGTGACAAAGTAGCAAAAGGGGCACAGTAATCAGTAAATTACCTGAGAATGTACCACCCAGCTGTCTCTCAGGATTTTATTTGAATTTGTCGTCACCAATATTTCACTCAAAGAATGTTAGAATAATGTGAGCATGCATTTATTTAGAATGCTTTGCAGGATAAAAAACTGAAAATGCCATTTTCAAGACAAATGAAAGCATTAAAATATGACTCAATCAAAACAAAAGTGGTTAGGGAGCCTTTGCTTATCGTAATTTCTGAATTTGTAATTGATTATTAGTATTAAGTGCAAAAAGAGTATTTTTGCACTTAAGGGAAACTAGTAAATTTAGTATTTCAGCTCTGTTCTTCTTTGTGTTATTATACAAAGGAGAGGGAAAAATACGACCACATGCAGCTTTACCTATAACTCAGTTCCGAATAAAAGCTGAACTGTATATAATCTAAATCCAGTGGCATACTTTGCTGTAAAAAGTGGGTCTTTGAGAGATGAGCATTACCGCCAAGCCATAATGTTAAAATCTAACTGAACTGCCCCAGTAAAAGACACCCAGAAAAAAACTCCACATTTTCTTCTACTTTGTTATTAGATTTTTCATTGGCAGAAGGACAGAGAATAGCACAGCAGGCACTACAACAACCTTTAAATCTCTCTGAAAGAAACTCCTCATAGGCTGAAAGAGCAAACGACCTCTTGCAGCCATTCAATCATTGTTCTTTCTGTCAAGACTGTAAAGACAACTGTCAATTAACACAAATGTGGTGATAGTTTCCAGAAACGAACTGTTGCCCACTTGGAGACAAATTCAGTCATTCATAGATGCAACAGAAATCAGTGAATATTTATCTTTGTAAACTACAGACCAAAAAAATAAACCCGAACCTGAGCAGCAGCCCTGCAAATCAACCTTGCTTTACATAGCTAAACCCTTTACAATCACACCACTTACATCACATGCTAATCTAAAACAGATAAAAATCTGAAGATCATTAATAAACTTGTTTAATTTCTGCAAATAATAAATAAATAAATAGCCCATAGTGAATCACAACTATCACTTGACTTTGGATCCTGCCCAGCAAAAAAAAAAAAAGGCAAAACTGTTGGATTGCCAGAGTGCAATGCGTGTTTGCCCTAAACATGTTCAAAGTAAGGTAAGCAAAGCCAATGCTTTTCTATTCTTCATTACACTCCCATTTCTACCCGCAACTGTTGCTGTCAGCAGAACTCTTAGCTGACCTGTGTAGTGCCAAGATCTTACCAATCTTCTATGAGTATCAAAAACAGGCTGCGAGACTTCACCACCATAGCTCACTGAATTGACACAGGTCAATCACCCAGCAGCGATTAGCTATTAAACACTCTTATCATCACAAGGATATAATAAAGACTTTAAGAACAAATTAAAGCCAGGAACTGAATTTACATATTTGAGTGAATTAATGAGCCTGTTTGATGTTCCCAGGTAAGATTAATCCTCCTCAAATAACTGAAAAATAAGCCCCCTAACAAAACAGCTCCTAAAACCTTAAGAAAAAGGAAAAAAAGGGACGAGGGGGAAGGGGGAAACAAACCACAAACACTCCAGCATTTTGGAGCCACTCCCATGAGTTGACTACATGTTAACAGAGGATTTGAAGTAAGCAAATCAAGCAGGTTTATCTCTTATAGCAGGTACCTGTGACTATTATTCCAGTATGCAGAATGGCACAGCCATCACAGAATGAGGAATGGTCTTTTTCCACAGGTTGGAAATCACAGCTCCATAGTAAGAAAGGTAATTTATCTGCCTTCTTAATTACAGCTAAATAAACTGGATTGCTGGTCCAGTGAGACTCCTTACAAACTCCTTAGCCGATCCAGAGCCACCGCCTTATAGAAAAAACTGTCAAAGACCAAGATATACATTCTTTTTTAAGTACTACAAAAAAAATGTCAAAAAGAGTATCATCACAAATCATGAGAAAGGAAATCTTAAAAGTGTACCTATTATTTGTGGTGCTAACTGCAAGTGTGCATTTTTCACAGTTTCTGATAGTTAATTCCCTTAAGATACCTGTTCTGAATATCTTGGATATCAGCAAAGTACAGTCCCATCAACAGACTTGTACTCCTCACATAAATAAACCTGTGTTTCCTTTACCAAGAAAATAAAGTGGTTGTGTTCAGTGCTACTCAAAATCCACCCCTGAAATGCAGTATATTTTCTACAGTTGTATGAAAACAAAAGCAAAGGACTTTCACAAAAAGACCCCAACTATACATTCTAGAGTTCAGAGCCTATCTTCAGAAGAACCAATGCTGAACTTGATCCTTCCACATTACTTTCTGATGAAACAGAAACAGGGTTCTGTTTCTAAAAAAGAGTTCAGAAATTCTAGTTGCAGTCTAATGTTCGTTCATGGCCAAGTTTACAGGCAAAAATGAAGGAGTCAGGTTTCCATCCGACTTCTAAAGTGGATTAAGGGACAAATAAATGTATTTTTTGGTACAACTGATTCTCTGAAACTGCTCAAAATACTATAATATCAGAAATAAGGAGCAGGAGATCTGTACGACTATGAGAACGGGTAATCCGAAATGCGTATCTGTAATAAACTATAGTATATAGACTCTGTGTGTGTGCGTGTGTATATATATCTTTTTAGACATATATACATATGTAATAAACTGGTATATACACTGAAAAAAAGGAAAATAAACCATTACGAGTGACATGAATAACAATCTCTCTTTGTACTCTTTTTTTCGGGGAGGAGACAAGGTTGAGGACTTCTGTAAAGCTTTATACAAGAACTAATCTTGCGAGTTCAATGGTAGCAGAATCTCCTAGAGCAACTATTAGGAACTGAATACAGATTTTCAAAAACTATCATCACAAAAATTCTTCAAGTGTTAAAAATATTGTTGCTATTTGTTTTGGGGTACAATCAATTAAAATTCTCATAAAACTTATCCTGAGATCAACAAGAGAATATATTAAAGTGACATTTCCAAGAATTGCTCCATTGTTCACATAAGCCATTGGCCCTTGTTTAGCATTTAGTATGTCAAGAACATGCTTAATTTAACATGCACTAATATTCTGCTACATCACAACACTGCCTATGTCACACTAAAACAAAATCAGAAAAAAAAAATATCCCAAGCAGCTGTTCTATTTGCAATAGCATGATTTTTTAAGCTGTACTTATGTGTTTGCTTTCTTTAGAACCTCCAATTGAATAGTTATTTTATTGATTGCTTATTTTAACTATAGCATCTAGTCTTGAAAAGAGCAATTGTATTAATATAGCTTACTCTTGTCCTCACCTCAACACTACTGGAAAGCATACAGTAAAATTACTGGATATTTAAATAACATAATTTAAAAGAAAACATAATATACTCAACCTAGCACACAGATTTCATCTGAAGAACTATCAAAGGACATATAGCTTATTAAAAATAGAAATATCAAACCATTAGTTAATTAAATGTAAACATTCAGATGTCTACATTAAAAGATCAACATAGAGAATAAAGACCTGATTAATAATTTGACTTGTCATGCTGTCAAGTATATTCCTAAAGTCTCTTTCAGGTTCATTTCCACTCTCTTCAGTTTGTTGGGACTCCTTTTATTTCAGCTGCCAAAAATAAAAACTGCTTCTTATTTATGACTATTTATTCCACAATATGGAAAATTCAGAACCTGGATTCACTGTGAATCACCCTAAAATATCTTTTAATTCCAGAAAGAAGGGGAAGAAATAGTCTTTAGTCCTGTCTCAGAACCCCCAGACAAACCCTCCTGGTCTTGTACTTTCAAGCACAGGGAACCCTGTGGAGCTCAGGCATGAGGGTACTTGTTATATCTTTCAGAAGCTGAAGGCAGCACTTCTAAGAAGAAATGGATTAGCTTTATTCTGTCAAGTGAGCTATCTGGATTAGTGTCTGAAATATAACACTTTGGTCAGTAACTTTTGTTAGCAGATCTTGAGGCAAAGCCCTACAGTATACCAGGGCACTCCACTTAACAACAGTTACTGCTACACCCGCCTTAATGCACACGCACACACACACACGAACACCGCACAGTCAGTCTTCCACTTTCAGAGATACCTGAACACTATTCCTCTGTGACAGACAGTGATCTGTTTGCAAGGGTAGAAGAGACACAATCAATGTTTTCGGAAAATTTCTCACAACTATCTCCTTATCTATAGTCTGAATATGAAATATTCATGTATTCAGCATGTAAGGCAGTAGAAGAATGAAATTTTATTTCTTTAGAACTGTAGAAATAAAATATTTTTAAGTAAAACCATAAAAAGAGAAAAATTAAGTGAAATCAAAGTAACTTCTTCACTATTACAAATTCTGAAACTCAGGACTCAGATATAATAAAAATGGAATATATGGTGGCTAAAACATTACAGCTCCTCAGAAATAATTTCTGTCAATCATAGAAAATTCAGCAACAAACTTTCACAACTTTCAGTGTCCCCAAATCTGGCTTCAAGAGATTGCCAAAAATTACTACTGAACTTTTATTACTTAGTTTGTCTTTAATTCTGTAAATTCAGCTCTTATTTTTAAATTTCAAGTAGAAGGATCTTCGAGATGCCATTAAGGTACGATATTGCCTTATGTCACAGCATTCCAAATAAATGTAACAAAAACTTGCATTCAAGGTATAAAGCTCTCATGTGTGTACGTTTTCTTGAGCCAGTGATAAGTAGTCCCACACTCCAAATGAACACTTCACTTTCCATTACTCCATCTCCTCTCTCAAATCTTGCCTATCAGCAACCTCATCTTGTGAGGAAAAAACAAAACAAGAAAACAGTTAAAATACTCATATGACATCAGGGTCCAAAGGCCCCAAGCAGAACAGGTCACCGGTGAGCTAACAGAACACATAAACATACATTCCAAATTTTAAAATATTTTTAGAGTTGTTAACACAAAAGCAGTAGAACAGTCCTTTTGTGCATGTTCATTACTCTTAATAGATATTAGTAGACTAACACTAGGAACTAGGAAGCTAAATATTAGGTAAGCAATTCAGTGTTATTATATATATAACCAAAAAGTAACATGATTTTGACTCCTTAATCACCCTTAACTCCATTATGATACAGCATGGTTGATACACTAATAGAGCAGAAGATTATTACTGTTTCCATGTTTCAAAGATGATGATAATCATGTTACAAATTTACTATTTAAAGGATAATATTTTGAGGTTATGTCAAAAGAAAAAAAGAAGTAGCAATTAGGTTCTTCCACCCTCTTCACACACGTATATTTTTCATCTTCACCTTAACAACTCTCCTTTCACTTGCCAAGAACAAAAAGAAAATGTAACACATACTTAGGCAGTAAGGTCAAACATGATTTATCTCCTACTTTAACAAAAACCTATTACTAGCACCCCAAAATAAATTCAGAGAAAGTTTATTAGGAAAAAAGGGAATAATTTTTTAGAAATTTCAGAAGGTCCCAAGAGCGGTAAAGGCTACGTGAAAACTACAAATATGTATTATTTATTCCTGTCATCTTACTTTTCACAGTGTCCCTTGTTGAGAAATTAGGCTGGTTTATAGGTTGGTATTAATCTAATCTACACTCACTGTCAGTCCAGAAGTCAAGAATAATCTAGAGAACAATTTCCATCTCGATTCTCAACAGTGTGCTTACATCCAGTGTTGATTAGTGTTGATTTCTTGTTTAATAACTTTTCAGATCAGAGAAGGTGTGCCTATATCCACACATATTTTACAGCAAGAACAAACCACTATTACAGAAAGCTGCCTGTCTATATGCAACTTTCATATTAAGACAAATTGCACACAAACGTATCTTCCTCTGAAAATAAAACCAAAGAACAGAGTTTTGCCAAAAGAAATGAACCAACATTGGCTAAGCAGCATGCAAAATCTGGTAAACTAAACAGCTGTCAAGTAGATGGTTGGCATTATCCGTCAACATTTAGACTAACAATTCTCCTAGAGAAAGTAATTTACTCCTCTATTTTACTCCTCTGCATTTACTCTGCTCATTAGTATTTTAACAGTTTTCAGATCTGCCTTCTGAGTTACATTATCAGGTCTCATTGGCTAAAGAGACCAATTTTCATCTTTAAGGGACTGTGGCTACTAACAGGACTACTTTCATGGACAAGGGATGTATTAAACCTCTTGCACAGGTTTAATCAAACAGCAAATGGTGTTTCCTGTTGCAACTGTTGCCCTGCAGGACTGGAGAAGACTCCATGCCCTGAGGAAGCATGCACTGCTAGGCTTCACATAAGATCTCCCTTTCTAGAACACTCCGAAAACATTACACCTCCCTCTCCTTCCAAAACACCTATGTGATCATAATAAAGCCTTCACCTTCCCATTCATCAGGCCATAAGCTTCATGGCCAAAAAAATACTATTTATTAGCCTACCTGGTAACAGTAACCACTTCACACAAACTTGTGTTTTAAAACTTCCTGGTTCTAATGGCAGGCTTATGTTGCAGCAGCCAATCTTCCCTCTGGCTTACACCATTTCAGAAGGCTAAGATTAAAATGCTATTTAATGGAAAGGACAGAAATAATATCTCACCGTATCTGTCTAACTCTTACCTTTTTTCGAAGGGAACAGTTAAAGATGTGAAAGACATTTAGGAGTGGTATCACTGAATTTCACAGATGTTATTTGTTACCTTTGCATAATGAATCTTAACAGGACAACAAGGCTATTAATTATCACTTCTATACAAAAAAGATGTACTTACCATCCCACAGAATGGACTACTATGTTTTTAGGCACAAACTGAATACAAAGTCTGATCACAAGCCACTGGAAGTCGCTCCTGCAAAAAACACACCAACTAAGTTACTAAGACTCACCACCGCAAGTTCAAGATTGTTTTTTTTAAAAAAAGTCAAATTTAAGAGGAGAAAACAGATAATGGGGTAAAGTACCTTTACATCTCTGGCAGAAGGCTCTACACAATTCAAAGTACCAAACCATACATTGTCCTAATTTCATTGTCAGGAGCAGCCAGATGAAAATCCAGCAAGGCCTACACAAAGCTGTCCATACCATTAGGCAGAGAATCAGATGTATGTACAAAATGGAAATTTGCTTCAAGGCAATAGAGCATATCCCAGATTTGATGAGTGCACACTAAATTCTGATTCCGTTTACATCCGCTGCAAAATTTTTGTTAAGTCTCAATGGAACACAAATTTCACATGGTGTATTTACAAAACAGAGAAGCTTATCCACATAAGAGCTCACCAAGTCACTACACCAGAAAAATTAGACCTCTTAGCAATAATGGCAAAGTCTTGTTAGACATAATTTATTGTTTGTACCCCTTCTCCTGTACCCAATCTGCCAACTAATGCTTCATTCAGTGTCTTGTGGGCTGTCATAAACCTTGACTATAAAGTTTTCATTACCCTCTTCTGGCAAATATTATGCTCTCACATAACTTCATGTAAGTCAAAGCAAAGATATGAATGAATGATAATTAACTAGACACAGAGTCATTTTTCTACCAAATACAAATTATGACTTCTCAGTTACACTTTTACATCTGGTTATCACTGTCTCTTCCAGCTTAAATCCTATTAGACATTTTTACTGTAATTTCACATACCTAAAAGGCTTTCTTCAACCTCTTCTCTGCAGAAAAACACTTCTGCCTATGGTATTGATATCCAGAACTATTCATACAGTGTATAGTCTTACTTATATTAAGTGAATTCCTTTTCTTCAAAAAGTCTCTAGAACTTTTTTTAAGAACCTCTAAGATTTTCTATAGTAATGAAATACATACCTTTTGAAATTTTTCAGTTCTACCAAGTTAAAGCATTTCTACATAAGCATAAGGAAACAGAAGCAGAAACAGAAAATGACTTGCCCAAAGTCACTGCAGAAACAAATCACAGAAAGATATAAAAGACACTGATCTCATGTTCTAACCCATTAGAGAACCCTGCTTCTCAATGATTTCCTCAAAGATAATTTATTATTCAACACAAGCTCCTTAAGCATGACAGAATGGTTTATGCAACGGCGAAGGGCAGTATTCCACCAAAAAGAAAATGACCACACAACAAACATGGGAAAGTATTTTTTTCCCAGTTTTTATTATATTTACTTTTGTATGAACTCTAGTGACAGCATAAGTGTAAGTAAAAATGATACGTATTTATTTTAACATCACGTTGAGGCTACTGAAATTATGTGAAAAGTATTCACATAGTCCACATACAATGAAAACAAGTTTGCAAATGAAGGAATGCATTTCCCTGGCATCAAAAAAAAACTTAACAAAGAGTGTCGTACTTCTCCCCCCCTCTCTCCCTGACTACTAAGAAATAGCCACAGAATAAAATCTTCTAAATAAAGACATATATATGGCACTAAGTACACCTGACAGAAAAATGTATTCTTCAAAAGAATAAAAATAACTTAATGACATCCACATCAACATTTACACCTTTTTGTTGTACATTATTTTAACACACTCACACAGACACTTGTTCCTGGAGTCCACTGACAAAGTTTCATGCTATTCACAGGCATTAAATCAGGCTATTCATTCTCTGCAAACAAGAAGAGATGTTTCCTCAGAAACATCTAGAGTAAAGGCTTTCAATGATTCACTCAAACTCATATGGCAGCAACGATTAGCTATGTGGGCATTTAGACTGGAGACAGGGCACTGACATTCAAAGCAATGAGACATTCACTGATTTGGGGAATTCTCAATTATTCCTCCATATTCTATGCCCATGCATCTTTTAATGTGCTAAGAGTAGATTCTGTGACTTGCCAGTAAGATTTCTGTCCCACCTCTTTATGAAAAATTCACAATTTAGCAATACCACCGTTGGCATGAAATTATATGTAGTTCTAGTATTCTATGAGAAGAGAGTTCCTTATGAATTTGGGTCAGTTGATGATAGATGAGAACTTGTCATGTACAACACGGGAAAAAACTATTTGCTAGTGGCAAGTCTCTTGTACTCTTCTCCTTGGACACTCATATCAACTTAGTTGCATATTATGATCCTTTATTACAGTGACTGTTTGGAATATTTCAATACTGTCACATAGTTAAGATTTATAAAATAAACATGTCTGATAAATCTACTAGTAAGGAGGAAGGACAGCCTTGCAGTTTGGCTCCAGAAGTCAGAAGCCCAAGAGCCTGATTCTCACTTCTGACACGTCTCACACACGACAAAGAAGTCATTTAAGTGTCCAAGGCCTGTTCTACTTCACCTCTAAAGCCTGATTGGTACTGCTCTAATTTCAAAGTTTAATAGAGTACTTCTTTATCTTTTTTCTTCTCCTTTTAATCAAACTAAAAATACATGTCTGATAACATCATATTTATTCCGCTTGCAATAAAAAGAATTTATTCCTCTCAAAGGTTTACAAAGTTCCTTTTGCTGCAGTAGCCTCAGGAATTTTGTTTCACCAGATTACCATAACTGATTCTGTACAGATTACATTTGAGCAACTCATCTGACTTTAGATTGTGTCCAATAATATCTGTGTAATTCATGACTAGTTAGTTTATGAAAATATAATTCATGGCATTGCTTACCTACAGAACTTCTAATAAAAGTTAAAAATGCAGGCAGAAGTTCTATATCAGAACTCTGCAACCATACACAAAGCTGGCAGTTCAAAAAATTTTAACAGAAACCTCTTGCAAATAGTATGATCCTGACATGAGTCTGTCCTTTACCATTACACAGAATAAAAGCACTCTTAAAAAGATGCTGAAGATAACTAAAAACTCCCAAATTCAGAAGATTTAAATTGTAATTGTTAAATTAATATAGGTTTATATTAATTATGATTCATTTAATTAGTTTATGATTAATGCAATACTAATAGAGTGTTTTTCTAGTAGGGATACAGTGTTACAACTCCATCACATGCCATTAGTCATAGCCATCTAAACCCAATGTTCTTTCTATAGTAAAATGCATAACTAAGTCCTACTAATTTTCAAATACTTTTGCAAGACCCACAAAGTTATTGGCCCTCACTAAGGAGAAAATATTTCACATATTCTACATTCCTATAACTTACAAAGTAGACTATGTGGTCCTGAAGTGCTCTCAGAAGTTGGTGAAATGTGCCCAAAGTTTCAATACACAAAAGATTTTTCAATTTCAAGGCTATATGAAATAAAATAGATTTTTAATGAACACTACCACTGTCTTCATTTCAGCAACATTAATGACACTCATTTATGACAACATTAACCAGAAAATTCGGTCTGGGAACACCCTTCTTGGTGAAAGTTAAATTGTTTAGTTCAAGATTTGGTTTGCATTTTGAGAACTGTTCTGCTGTTTATACATGTAATAAAAACTTCACAACTTGGCATACTTTTGAGCACTTTTTTAGATCAGGTTGGTACAAAATATGTTGTAATCATTAAAAAAAAAATAATCTGAGAAACCAAAGACTGAGGATTTTTATTTGGGATTAACCTCATGCAATATATGCATCTTTTTGTAAATGAGAAAAATTATTCCATGTGTATCAAAGGACTCTAACATTTTCTGAATTACTGTTTCAAGAAAAAACTGTTTCACCCATCCTTCTCCCTTCACAAGATCCTTCACTCATCTTCTGAAAGACACCTTTGTCAAAAACAGCGCATTCACAACTGTTAGTATACCGAAACCTGTCTTAGGGAAACAGAAATTATGGTTTTAAAGTACAGAGTGCACAAGGCTGCTCCATTAACAGAGCAACTGTGTCTAGTACCTTCAAATGGGTATCCTTTGTTGCTTTAGCTCTCTGTCACACCACCCTTAAAACCGCCACTCCCTTTGGTGGCCCTTAGGACACTTTCAGCCATGGTACCCTGTGGCTCATTTCATGTGTATACCAACCAGCTGGCCCATATGCATATGCTGACTAGATGGAAGACTACCACCAAACAAAATGTGGAACAGCCTCTCTCTTTGACCCACATTTCTTTTCATGAGGAAACCATGATAAAAAGCACAGATATTACTATCAAAACTTGATCCATGCTTGTAAGTGAAAAGATAACCTTCAGGATCTGTTCCCAGCTCATACTTTCCTACTGCCATGTTCTCTAAAGCCAAGTCTTCACAGAGGGGCAAGCAGAACAACGTTTATATTCTCTTTACAAACTAACCACTGGAGGACAACCATCACAAACGTTCAGCAGGCCTGCTTCCATCCAAGAGATGGCAGTAGCGAACAGCCACACAGGAAGAGAGACTGCAGCAGTCTGGGGTAACGGTAAACAAGTAAAAGGGGTCACCGGCAACGCCAAAATTCAACAGACAGAAGATTTTCATAGACTTGTCAACAGTGCACAATATACCCTGATAAATATCTCCATTTCTGCTTCAAATACCATACGATGATGAATTCTTATGAGTTTTTGAACCCTGAGCACACAGGGAAGATGAACGTAAACCCAAGTAACACAGCAAATAATCCATGCCACTCATTTAATCTTCTTGGCTTAATGGCTGCAGACAATAAAGTTTGACTTTTACAAAAAAGATGCATAGAGTTTTGTACTGGGGCCAGCGGAGGGGCGGGTGGGAAGAATGACCTTCAGAACCTTCTAATTATGTATTGAAAAACCTCTCAAATTCTTAAGATTCTCCTGGATTTCAAAGGCCCATCACTACAATGTTATGTCCCACAAATTTCACTACAGAATTCTTCACTGTGATACAGAGCAGTAACCATTACCCCATTTTAGTAATTCTTCCACATCAAAAACGGTGATTTGGAAAATTTTTGACAGGAGCGGAAGGCGGTGGTTTGATTACCTACATTTGTGAACGACAACCAAAAATAAAAATGGCAACTTCCCCCAACACTTATGAGGCATTGATCTTCCTAATTTCTCAAGTAACAGGCCTGCTACACTCTCTGACGGTATTCTGTAGCAGCATACTGTCCAGCAGTTCCTCTGGTAAAGCAGATGTTCGCGAGTGTCAGATTGCACCAGTACATCTGCTAAATCAGAAACAAAGATGTAAACTTTTTACTCCCTCTCTCTATAAACCACTTAGAAAGGTATCTATGTATTACAGTGGCAGTGATCTCATCCATATACCACAAAATGACACTTTATCGCTTGGTTTCCGAAGTTCCTAGGCAGAAGGGTAACAGGAAGGTGCAAACAGCACGGATGTGAAAGTCTCCCTCTTTCCAACAGTTTCCAGTACCAGACGATATTGACCAAGTACTCGCTGTTAGCCGGGACACGCACGCGGCCCCACGCCATTTCCTTTCCCACACGCCATTCCCATTTGTGGCCGCGCACGGCCCAACCAGCGTCCTCCCCCCAACAGCTCAACCCCTGCCTGGCGAAGCGTCACGGAACGGCCTTCCCCGCCGCCCGCAGGCAAGCGCCAGGCCCGCCGGCGGCGGGGAGGGCGCGACGTGCCGGGCAGCGACCCGGCAAGCCAGGCGGCAGCAGCCGGGGCAAGCAGCCGGGGCAAGCAGCCGGGGCAAGCAGCCGGGGCAAGCAAGCAGCCGGGGCAGGCCCCGCGGCGAGGCGCTGGCCCCGCGGCGAGGCGCTGGCCCCGCGGCGAGGCGCTGGCCCCGCGGCGAGGCGCTGGCCCCGCGGCGAGGCGCTGGCCCCGCGGCTCGCAGGCCGGCGCGGCGCGGCTCGACCCCTCGGTGCCGGTGCCGGGCCCTCCCCGGCCGGCAGCTGCCTGCCAGCCCCCGCGGCCAGGCCAGCGGAGGACCCGCACCACCTACCCCAGCCCCCGCTGCCGCGCCCGCGACCACCGAGGCGAGGCCGCTGGGGAGAGGGAGAGGGAGACGGCCCCGGCCCCGGCCCCGGCCCCGGCCCCGGCCCCGGCCCCGGCCCCCGCCCCGGCCCCCGCCCCGACGGGAGGGGGAGGTTCGGGAAGGGGGAGGGGAGCCGCACTCCTTCCCCCCACCGCCGCTCCGGCTCGGCGCGCGCGGCCCCCCGGCCCCGCCCCCTCCCCGGCGGCTTACCCCGCGGCCCGGCTCGCGCCGCCGGTTTGGAATTTTCGCGCGCTCTGCCCCGGCGCCCGCTGGCGGCGCGCCTGCGCGTGGAGGGGGGGGGGGGGGGGGGGCGGAGCCGGAGCCGGCGGTTGGGCGGCGGCGGCGGCGGCGCGGCCCTCTACCCACGCAGGTCCCCACTTCGGACGCGGGACCCCGGCGGGAGCCGGTGGTGCCATAAAAGCGCCGTCGGCCCTCACGGCCTGAGGGGCTGAGCGGGCTCCTCGTGACGGGGAACCGAGGTGCTTGCGTTAACCTACGCGTCCAAAAGTTTACGTGGTGAAACAGAGCGAGTTGGGTACAGCCAGTTTTGATCCTGTTTTGTACAGCCAAGGCAACAACTCCGCAGGGAAACCAAAACGAGGGGGACATTATGCCCACTGTGCACGTTGTGGTGCGTCGGCCAGGGACCCTTTGGCGGTGCTGGCCGGGTGGAGGTACCCGCCCATGACCCACCCTGTTGGTCTCGGACCATGAATGAATAAAATCCTTTGGTTTTTTCCCCTTCTGGTAAGACTAAGTGCAAAACCTGTCAAGCTTTTGCTTGTTTTCAGTTTGGTCAACATCCAACAGGCCTTTCCACCCATGTGAGAAAAGGGCAAAGGGTATGACTACAGGCATACAGTAGATAAGAAAATTTCCTTTGAATAAATGTAGGTGTTGAAAAAATACTGATTCTCTAACTGAAATTTGTGCTGGTGCTAAAATGAGAAATACACACATGGTACGTGTTACTAGTCCTCAATTTGTTAAAAGGCAACGGCAGTAAAACTACCAAGACGCATATTCTGTCACTTAACCACTGTTGAATTATGCTGGTCCTCAAGGAAAACCCTGCTAAAAATACACTACACAGTCTGACTACTTAGTGCAGTTTTGCTCATCGCTCCGCAGCCCACTTACATGCTCATACTTTACTCACCTTCCTCTCATTCCTTCTCTTTTGCTTATCTACTCAACTCCTCCTCCTATTCACCCTGGTAGTTTTTCCACTCCTGACTGGGTTTACCTCCACATTCACTACTTGCAATGAAGAGCTGGTGGGGAATTGCTACAGTATTTGCACCTGTCTTTCTGAGTAGCCATTAGCACATAAAATTTCTTTCTCTCCTAGCATTCCTTTCCTCCTCCCAAATACCTATGCTTACACCACTCTGTTCTTATTTCCTCCTTGAAGAACCTGTGGATGGTGAGGCACTCATGATCCTACCTGAAGAAAAACAAATTATTTGGAAGAGCAAAGCCACTGCCTCTGAAGGTCCAGTCCATGACGACGCGGGCTGCAGCAGCGGTTGCCTCCCTCCCGGAACGACACGCCAGCGGGTGCAGAAGGGGACTGCCTTGCCGTGACCACCAAGCAGTGATTCGACCCATTCGACCTACCAGTGTGCAGCGGGAAGGACTATGGCGGTGTGGATGCGTCTGAAACCTCAGAAGTCCACGTGCCGTTCGCGTGTTCGGTGCGTTTCGGGTGTTACGTGTTACTTAATAAAATCTCCCTACCCCATCTATTCCCTGCGCAGCCCCATCCCATCCTCCCCAGGGGGCGATTAGTGGGGTGAGTTAACTTGTCTCATGACAGCCGCTGGCCAAGCCCATTTGAGTGAGATCTGGCAAAGAAAGATCTGTGCCACAAATGGATATGGGACTCGTAGTCATGATGCGCACATCAGTAACAACTGGCACCTGTTACTGGAATTGACACTCCAACCGGACGTGTCCAGGTGGACAGGCCACCTTTACTTAACTTGGAAAAGAAACTCAAAATTCGCAATTGTATTTGAAAAATAACCTAGGTTGGAATGTATCTTTTCAGGTGGATTTTAAGTTAAATCCCACTGACATCATTAGTCTGAATTAACAGGCTAGTTTGCATTAGATTTGTACTCTGCATGAATGTAGGACTACCAGTGCTGCTAAAGCTGAAGTTGGCAGTTTCCTCTTTACAATTTACCCAGTCCAGCTGATGTCCAAACTCCTTACTCACGTTTAGCTTTCATATTCTTCTATTGATATTTCGTGCAGTGTGTCATCTTTTCTGATCACCACTGCTTTCAATTTTCTGTAAATGAGATAAAATCCCCTTCAGTACAAAGCAAATTCAATTTAGCCTTTTAGTGAAATCCCAGTGCATGAATACTTAATTACTTTTTTTCATTTCATCCCACCAAATCACCTGATGAATTAAAGGCTTGTCTGTGGAAGTTTCAAAGTACTTTACTGGGAAACAGCAATTGCTCATCAGGCAACTCACCAAGACAAACTGGCAGGGATGTTTCCCACACATCCAGCACATCTGCTGAGCACAACGTAAAGCCCATATTCACACTGTGAGTCCAGTTCATAACTCACGCAGGTCTTTAATCTTTCTACTCCTTCTCTTTCTTGTCAAGTGAAAACATGGGATAATTTATATTGTTTTCTACCATCAATTGTGTTAACGCTTCCTTAGATGTCAGCATTATTAATTATTTCATTGATGAAACATGTAACTGTTCTGGTACAGTGGAAGAAGCTTGAGTGGAAGAAGTTTGATAACACCCTTTTTCATATTTCTGACTGAACATACTCCATTTTGTCCAATACCTATTTCTATCCCATATTCACAGAGTAGCAAAAGCTGCCTTTGTTAATCAGCTTGGTGTTTATGCCATCAGCAGAGCCAATTTTCTTCTTGCTATGCAAGAAGCCATATCCCAGTTTCCGTGTACACTCAGACATATGGTCAAAGATATACCAGAAACTGTGAAAAGTAAACCAAGGTGTTTTGGTTTGTTTTTTTTGTTTGTTTGTTTGTTTTTTTTTAAAAAAAGGCATTTAAGAATGTCATGGGAATGGGAAAGTTGTATAAAAATAGGAATAAACATAATAGCAAAGAGGAAAGCACAGGACTAACATGCATAAACTCCAGTGGATGGAAAGAACACTTGGTAGTATTACCTTCAAATGACCCTCATTTTAAATAGTCACAAAATAAGTGGCAATTATATGAATAATGAATTAGGTAGTACAAATCTAGTGAATGCCAATATAAATGTTATGTTACTTCAGACATTCTGTATACAGTTCGCCACTCCTCTACATTTAATATATGCAAAACATTTGCTTGTTAAAAAAATGTTATTTGCACTATTTTTTTGTAGCCTTAATCTTTAAGAGCAGGTACTACTGCACACAGAGCTAATCCAGCTGCCTAGTCTCAAACAGAGAATTACTAATAGTAAATCTTTGAAACTGAAAAAAAAAATTTGAAACTGTTCAAAGTCACCAGAAAGAGTACTGCTATAGATAAGGATGCCACGACTTCAAAACCTGAATATTTAAGAAAGGTCCTTCCAAATACTGGAGAATTGCTGGCTGCTCCCCAGGAACCATGGCAATCTCCTCTTCCCCAAGGTGTGTTGCAAAAGACCTTGCTAAGGTTTGCACTTTGATGAGATACAGCAGATACTTCACTTTGGTTCAGGGAAAATATCACCATTTTGTCTTTTGGCCAGTGTTAATTTGGTAGGAAAAAATCCCCCATTGGGGGAAAAGAAGGAAATATATCTTTGACAGGTTTTGGGGAAAAAAAAAAAAAAAAAGAAAAAAAAGAAAAAAAGGAAGTCCCAGCTGTTTGAAGCTGCTCAGAGGCTTGGAATGTTAGAGTAAATACTGGGGGAGATAGATTGATGGGACGAACTGCAGGTGAGGCACCAAAGGTGCATGGTAAATATAATTTATCAGTGCACATGACCACCACATATGTAATATATTTTATGCACATTATAGTGATTAGCTAGAGAGCACATACTGCTTTAAGCAACACAAGAGCTTCTGCTTAAACAAACAAACGCACAGTACAAAGCAAAATGCTCTCGGACCCCTTAGCTGAAGTGAACATGATACGTGTCTCCGTACAGGACTGTGGCTAGTTCAAAATGTTTGCTACAAGACAACAAGGAGCTAATGTAGCCACTGCATACCTACTGTTGTTCTTTGTGGATGGAATTGCAACTGCCCAAGTATTAGAGTGGCAAGCAAACCATCAGTAATATTTGGTAGGTTTTCTGTCTTTCTGGAGAAGAACACCATGTGTAACAAGGCACCAGTACATGTCAGTTTACTGCTGTTTGCAAGCCACTTTAGGGGATTTCTGAATAGGCAGATGTGTCATTCCTAGCTGGTGATGATATCTTTGAAAATTTCCCCCCTAAAATACTGTATTTTGGGTGACTGTTAACGCAATAGCTAGGCATACTAACATCCCTGAGTTCCAGGTGTTCAATCTCTCCCATATCTCCCATTCACTTTCCAGTATAATTTCACAGCTCAGCATTGCTTGTGCTTTCTGTGCTGTTCTAGGAAAGAAACAAAGAGCCATCTTCAGTAAGCAGACGTGGTGTTACTTCTTGGAGGCATCAGGCCCTGCAAATCTGGTTGATGGTCTTTGTGAGCAGTGTGTGTCACACAGTCTGTATGTTGATAATGGAATAATTTTTCCTCTCCTTTTGATTTGACATCCTGGGGAGGTTTACTTGCTCCTAAGAAGGGCAGGAATATTTGCTGTGTTCTGTGTCCCACGTGATAGGTGAATATATTTGATTTCTTCTTAACAGAAATATTATCAAGTCTTTATCTGGGGAGCCTCTGCAGGGTTCTAGAAAATTGGCCCTGAATAGGCCAATGGTATTCACTGCTCCTTAAACCAGACTTTAAGAATTCTCTTCGTAACTATTAAAGCTGTGCCCTTCATGTTTCTCAGTCTTGTATAAAACATAAGTTCACAAGGATAAAATTTGGAAATTGCACCATATATCCATCAATTAGCTGATCTTGATACAGTCGAGATTTTAAGAATTTTTTTATTGCATCTTTCCAATATGTGCATTATTAGAGGAGCTGAAGTATTTAGCTTGGTGATTGATTATGTTTCTATCTATAATTTTAAAACTTCCCCATGGAAAGTAATCGTGAAAATCATTCCTTTCTCTGTACCTGTCTGCACCCTCAGCAAGGTGCTATAGAAGAAAATGTGAGTCAAATCAATCATTCCCA